GTGCCCCCCCCCCCATAGGCCCCACATGGCTCCTGCCGTCCCCCTCTGCTAATCAGAATTTTTAGGTTACTGGCACACCCTAAGCCTCGGGTGTGCCGGATAACACAGGTTTTACTGTACTTACATACTCACATAGACCGCTATACTTACACAGATTGCTATACTTACATAGACCGCTATACAGTACTTACATACTTACATAGACTGCTATACTTACATAGATCGCTATTTATATAGACTGCTATACTTACATACTTACATAGATACTAGGTCTCCAGCTTTCATCTATTGTCTACAGTCAAGCCCTAAGATACAATTGTTTTGCTTCAGTCCCGCAGACAGAAACAAACACCTACAGGATCTCTATCAAGCATTCTTAAAACTACAGAACCCACCTGGGGAAGTGAAGAAACAGATTGACAGAGACAGGCAGGTACCCAGAAGTCATCTACTACAGGACAAAGCCAGCAAAGAAAGCAACAGAACGCCACTGGCCACTGAATAGAGATAGGGAGTGGCAGGCTCACGGCAGAAAGTAATTCCCCCTTTGGACATTCTCACCTTCTCCTCAACTGTTGGGAGTGGGCCACATCCCCCTTGATTGAATTGGTCCTCCACACAGTAATGTAACTCACCCATCTTTGCATGGGTCTATATCCCTGCCAAAGTGAAGTTTCCACTTCATGCATCTGATGAAGTGGGCTCCCGCTCATGGAAGCTTCTGCCCAAGTACATTTGTTTGACGTTAAGGTGCCGCAGGGCTCCCTGTTGTTTTTGCTGAAAGAGACTAAGACAGCTCCCCCTCTGGGGCTTGCTGAACTACTGATGTATCTAAACACGCCTGTGCGGTGATCGAGCACAAGCGGAACCTGGGACACGTTAACATTAGATGGTCAGCTGCTACCAGGTGAGCTAGAGGACCGACTGACTGGAGGTGGTAATGGTACGTGGATTAGCCATCGAGGGGAGCACACTGCCCCTCGTGCACCGCTGGTCCTGAACACGTGTGTCATTGTGGGCACAACTCAGATGCCCCTTTGTGGAACTTTTGGCTCCTAGTAAATGATTGTCACTGTCTTTCGTAGGACCAAGCGGTCCCACGCCTGGGCCCAGAGCCCACTAGACTAGATGCTGGACAGACACAAAACACATCGAGTTAGTGCCTAGAACTGGGCCATGTTCATGGCAACAAGAGCTTTGCTCTGAAGAGTCATATTTGCAATGGGCCTTGGGCAGGAACAAGAACTTGGGCAGGTGCCCCTGAAATGGGCTAGAAGCTCCCCTTCCGGCCAAGCAATCTTGGGGCACCATGGCTGCTCCAATGCCTTTGGCGGGTCTGCTCTGAAAGGCTGGTTGAGTATTCGATTACGACTTCACCTGCACTTGCTGTTTACCCCCCGGTAACAGCCCAGTGGGCCGCTCTGTAAACGGGGAGGGGAGGAGTCAGGGTGGCATGAGCTGATGGAAGAAGAAGCAGGAGCAGATTCAGGTTTCAGTCAGACCAAAGCAACACCCCAGGGCTCCCTGCGCCAGATCCCTCCTTACCCAGCAGAACATCACCCCCCATCAGAGACCAGAATAAACCCCAGCGCGGCACCCACCTGCAAGTACTGATAGGCTAAGTCTTGCTGGCAGGACTTGGATTTCAGCAGGGCTTTGTCGATGGTGGCGGAGGCCTTTTGGCATACTTCCCGGGCATGGCTAAGGGTGAGTGTGGACCAGGAGCCCCGTTTGATGTAGTTGGACTCATTGTTGATGGGGATATTGGTGCAAGGGGTGACCTTGAGGTCGTTATTGCTCTTGGAGGATTTCAGCATGTGCTCACTGATGGTGTTGTACGCGTGCATGAAGTACCTAGGCTGGCTGTGGTCAGGTTGCCTTCCCAGAGTCATGAGGCCCATTGGGTTACGATAGCTGCAGGTGTCACTGTCTAGGTTGTCATCCGAGCTCCACCAGCCTGATATGTTGGACCTAGGCCTGCGTTTGGTCTCGGTGGTCTTTGCCCGGTCTTTGCTCTTGCTCCTCCGGTTCTGCTTGGGGTCCTCTGTGCCTTTCTTGCCATTCACACTGCCTTTGGTGGGGCCCTCCAGGGACTGTGACTTGGCAAAGAGTTTTTGGACCGAGTGGACCAGATGTCGGATGCGCCCGGGGCTCTCGCTCCGGTGCTTGGAATCGCTCCTCTGGAACTGGAGGGTACTGAAGCCATCCCGGTGGATGGGCAGCTGCTTCTCAAATTGGTCCAAGAGGTTTGCAGGGAGGCGGTTGATCTTAGTGGCTTGGGCATGGCTCGGGAAGGGGCTCTCGTCCGGGACCTCGAAGTGGGAGTTGTAATGGATGCGGGGGAAAGTGCTGCTGTTGGAAATCTGGTTGTTGAGTGGGAGGAGACAGTCACTGTGGAGGGAATTCTGGGCTGGAAACCGGGGGTCCATGGGGTAGGGGTCTGTGGGACTAAGGAGATAAGGGTTCCTGTCTTGGGAAGCATAAAGAGAGTCCTGAGGGGAGTCCAGGTTGTCTGAGAGGTGGCGGCTTCTGTTATCTCCTAACCCCTTCATGGCCCTGGGGTTTCCTACAGCATCACTTCACGGGAGCCTTCTTGCTAGTTCTTCCTTTGGTCCCTCTCCCACTGGAGCCGGTCCTGCAGCCACAGACAAAAGAGACGCACATCACTGAAAGGAAAGCTCTCCCTGAGATCTCTCGATTCCACCCTGCTCCCCTCAATGCATCCCAGCGAGCGCCTGGCAAGCTCTAAAAGTAAAGACAATTCAGGGTATGGCAGAGCTGCCTGAGGAGGGAGAGGAGGAGGAGAAAGGGATGGGAGATAGGGCACAAGGAGATGGGAGCAGAGAAGGCTGAGACCTGGAAGAACAATCAGGATGAGGTATTAGAACAACAGGAAAAAGGACCAGTTAACATCCCTAGCCTTGCTTAAGAATTGTGCAGACCCCAGAGCTCAATACAAACTACTTAGCACAAGCGGGCTGCTATTCTTTGGCCTCTGCGTGGGTTGATTTAATGGCGCTCAGTCCCCAGCCAGCATAGCAAGGGCTCGCAGTTGAACTGCCAAAGACTCACAGGAGTCTGCCCCATTATCTCAGGGAACTGAATACAACCTGCTGTCAAATACTGTGCCTGGGCCTTGCCAGAGTCGAGGGAAATGAGGACCCGGGGATCAGATTGGCTCTCCATCATGTGCCATTCAGGTTTCCCTGGTTACCAGATCTCTTAATGGGGATGATGGACCGGATGTGTGTTTTGCACGGAGTTATGGTAATGTGATGGGATGGCAAACATCTCTGCTCAGACAAGTGCCTGGCTTTATGTTCGTGTAATCCTGGATCCCCGAGGAAAATGCTTCAGACAGATGCCCAGAGCAATGGTGTTACGAGACACTCCAGGGCCTGGCCTGAGAAGTCTGCGGTTGCTCAGTCACAGCTCTGTCCCCCCCTGCCTGGTTATCTCACCGCAGTGTGGGCTGCTTGGCTTCTGGGACAGGGCTTCCTGCAAACTAGGCCTTTACACTGGCGCACAGAATCAAAGTCCCAGCAGGTGATATGTGCTAGGAGCTGACGCACAGGCCTGGTTAGCAAGACTCCAGAGCACTGCTCTCAGCTCTGCAGCACAACTGCTGTGCGCCTTGAACTATCTATCCCTGGGGTGGTCATTTGTAATGGGAGGCCGCTCCAAGAATTTGTAAGTGTTCAAGGGCCGCGCTCTTCTAGGATATGAATGGAGGAGGTGTGGGGTTCGGGATGGAGGCTGGATGCAGAAGGGAGCTCAGGGGAGGGGATCAGAGTGCAAGAGGGGGTATGGTGTTTGGGAGGGAGTTTGGGTGAAGGAGGGGTTGTGACTTGGTGCAGGGGATGGGGGTGTAGGAGGGGGTATGGAGGTAGGAGGGGGTGCAGGATCTGGGAGGAAATTGTGACCAGGAACTGGGTATGTGTGTGTCAGAGGAACTGGGTTGTGACTGGGACAGGGAGTTCGGGGGTAGGGTTCCAGGTGCAGGATCTGACCATAGTAGGTGGCTCCTGGAGAGCATCCCAGAAGGACTCTTGCACAGGCTTCCTGCCTGCCATGGCCCCACATGCCGCTCAAGGCAGCTGGCTGCTGGGGCTGTGTACCCAGCTCTGTGCAGCATGCCCCATGGGGGAGAGGGGCCTTGCACACTGCCTGTGCCACAAGCACTGCCCGGGCAGCTCCCATTGGCTGGTTTCTGGCCAATGGGAGCTGCAAAGATGTTCTGGCAGTGGAGGCAGCGCATGGAGCCTTCCCTCTGGGGCACTGCGCAGAGATGCACATGGCCCCTGCAGCCAGCGGTTTTGAGCAGCGTGTGGGGGAGTGGCAAGCAGGGTGGCTGCCCGACGGCCCCACTACACCACAGGATATTGGCAGCCCATAGCATCCTGGTGGGCTGGATCTGATCCGTGGGCTGTATTTTGCCTGCCCCTTGTCTATCGTCATGCATGGGATCTTTAATGAAAAACGGACTAAAATTGGCATGGATTCAGTGGGCATCCCCCTCCACACGTTATGAAATAAACAGAGCAACTGACTAGCCTGTTTTCATTGCCATGCTGAGAAAAAAATGCATGAATGCTGAAGAGCAAGTGAGATTTGTAATAATTGTTTCAGTGCTAAAACTCAAAGATGGGATTTGGAATATGCCCCAGGACACTTGTGATACCATCACTTCCAATGATCCCACTGTTAAAACAGCCTCCTTTAACCCAGCCAGCCCTCATGGATCTCCAAAAGGGCTTCAGCTGGAGAGAAAGCACCATCCCTCATTCACCACCTGAAATCCAACTGATCTCTCCCCTGCTTTTCTGAACCTCAGCACAGCTGATTCCTCCGCAGAGGAAATTCTGCTGACGATCCCAAGCGTGACTTGGATTGATCCCGCCCCTTGGCAACTTCCGAAGACCCCTGGGTACAGCCACTTGACCCCGCCTACTGCAAACCCAGCCTCTCACACTCCACAGTGAAGTTCACTGACCCGCCCATAAAAGCAGATGGCCTCGCCCCATAGCAAAGCTGGCGAAGCCTATCCTTGTGGCAAAGCCAGCCAGCCAGTTTGAGTGGGCAGGCAGGTGTATATATTGGTCTTGTTTGGAGCCATAGATTAAAGCAAATGGCAAGTTAAGATGTGTCCCTACAGGGACAGTCACTTTAGACCAGCCCCGTAAAACACGGGGGTCTGGCATTGCTGGGGGAGTTCTCTTGAACCTTCATGGGAGGGAGACGGATGTTCGGCTTCTTGGGCTGATGGGAGCATGGGACGACCTTAAGGAAAATAGTCGATGAATGTCCAGGAGTCAATGGTGCTTCCACCCGGCACCTGTAAGGAGCTGTTTGTCACAAATGGCAGGCACCATTCCCTGTCTATTTGGCAAGCCTGGAGCCAGCCTATCCCCCTGGGCTCCTGCCAGCCTTCCTCTGGCGCCTTTTCCTTCCCTGTCACTGTGCTTTGCAGATGTATGGCTGTGCCAATGCCGTGCACAGAACAGAGAGAACGGAAGACAGGATCCCACACTCGCAAGACCCTTTTCAGCTATTCATGCTAAGACACTAGCAATCAACTCTCCGCGGCTCCCAGCGAAAGCTAATTGCCTGAGGCAATCTGAGAAGAATTCATTCCCCCCGATGGGCCAGGTGCATTCTGGGCAATAGACACCTGCCCTCTTCAGAGGCAGCAGGGATTGTCCACAGCCAGGGCACCGAGCCTGATGGGCCACCCTTCCAATCCAAGCCCCGCTCCTTCCCCAGGCCACCGGCAAGCCAGGCCTCGAACCCAGGCCCCCGGGGACCAGGGCTGCGCTTGACCTTGTAGGACAAGGCTACAAATGGCCCCCGGGGAGTCCACAGGGATGTATCGCCCTGTCTGCCATGGGGCTCCAGGATCTGCCCCCAGGCTCTGGTACAGAATAGCGCTTCTGGGGCTTTATGGAACATCTCAGCCACCTCCCCTCTGCTCACGCTCCATTCCCAAGCCATGAAGGGCCCCGCCCCCTCTGCCGGGAAGACCTCCAGCTAGTCTGGGTCCCCATCAAAAGCACTTTCCTGGCCTGCAGGGTTCCATGAAGGTTCTGGCAGAACAATGGGCCCAGCTCTGCCTTCCAACCCACCTGCCCGGGCACTGCCGAGCCAGCAGGAGGGCCACTCCCCTCCCGCTCCAGGGACTGGGAACCTGAACCTGGGCATCTCCCATGCAGCAAGCAAGCAACCACCCTGTCACAAAGCAGGGCAGCCTAATGGTTAGCAGCGAGGGCCTGGGCGGGTCTGTTGGGTCTAATCCCATCCTGAGTCCCTGGCGCTGTGGGTGACCTTCGGTCAGTCACTTAAGCTCCTTGGCCTCCGTCGAAGCCAGCTGTACGGCTGGGTCAGAGCAGGAACCCCACTGACAGGCAGCTGCTGCCTCAGCACAGCACTTTCCTGAGGGAATAACTCCCTGGCAGGAGAGGAGGGGGAGGAGCAGCAGCAATCCATGGTGCACTGAAGCAGAAACTCCGAGCGAATGGGGTGAACACACTGCCCTGGCTTTCTGACACTGTCCGCCAGCCAGAGAGGGCTGGATAGCACGAGGGGTAGAGCCATGGTACCCTTTTAACCCAGTCGCCCACCATTGCTCATGGAAGAAAGGTCTTAAATCTTACCACACGGTCGCTGACGCCAGGGCTAGTCACTCTCCATGCGCTCACAGGGCCTCCATAACAGAGAGAGTGAGCTGCATCGTAAATGGATTCTCTCATCCTGCACTTCAGTGGTGTTACTCCAGAGTCCCTCCCCCCCGCCACCATGTACCTGAGAATAAACCTGAGCCCAGGGCTATACAAGGTAGTAGACATGCTCTACCCGCCTCCTATCGTGCACAGTGGGTACACGCTGTGCATAGTGTACTGCACGGGGCTTGCATACGCTATAGCCACACAGAGTGCGCCCGGACATGGCAGAATTAGGCTTTTTAAAATAATTGATGGGTGATTTTTTTTTCAATTTTAATCAATGTAAATGTTCCCACTTGCAAGACATCAGACTGTCATTTAGTGCCAGGAGACAGATTCAGAATGTTAGTTTTATGACAAACACCCATGCTCGACATCCCATGTCAGACTATACAGAGGAAATAGCCTTGATTCAAATGCTGAGAAATTCTTGAGCAGCATTTTCTTACCTGCCTAGCTACATGTTTCCATGCTCAGTGGCAATGTTTGTGTTGCCTTGTGTGCGGATGCTGAGCTCAGCATTGACTGATACAAATCTTGCCCTTCCCAGCGCAGGCTCAGCGAACGTGCACCCACGTCACACAGCACACAGACCCTGCATCGCTGCCGGATGGCGCGCACGGCGTCGGGTAATGCACATGCTATGCTCACACAGCCATTTTACAGCAGGTAATTCGACACACAAGGCTGAGTAGAGAGCGTGTCCAAGTGGGACTAAGCGGCTGTCACTTTAACCTTCTTCCAGCCTCCTTGTGGGTCCGTTACAGTATCTGGGGCAGGCCTGAAATGGACGCTCCCCACCCACCGCCTGAGTCTAATGAGCGCAGGGGTTGCTAGAGGGGTTAAAGAGAGATGTGCTGGCATCGGTGGCAGGGAAAGGACCCCTCGCCCTGTTTCCATTTACACCTTGTCCTGG